TCCAGCGGCTGCTGGGATTGGAGCTCCCTGGCTGGGGCCGGAGGTCCATGGCCCCAACCGGGCTACAGCTCCCTGGCCGCTGAGGCCAGAACTCCCCGCCATGCTGTCTGTCCTCCCCGTCCCACTGCCAACACACACTGGTCTCCCAGCTGAGTCACCAGTGCCCCTTACAGCGCTCCTGCCCCACAGCCAGACCTACCTCTTCCTGGACTCTGTGGTCCAGGAACATCCAGGGTCCAGGCCGGACCACAGATGTTGCCGGACCAGGGAGCCCTGGTTAAGGGAGGTATAACCTGTATTGTTTCAAAAGGGACTGAGATGCAACAGATAGCTGCACAGAGAGGGGAATCACAAAAATATTTGTGCTTTTCTTTTGCCTGTTATCATTGAAGTTTTTGATCAGCTGTAGAACTTGTTACAAAATGTGGAAAAAAAACCCAGCTCTTATATAGCGCTTTTCCTCAGTAAATCTCTAAGCACTTTACAAAAGGTAGGTATCACCATTATTAATCCCAATTTATAGATGGGAAAACTGAGGCACAGAGGTGATGTGGTTTGCCAAACTGGCAAGGGGCAGAGCCAGGAATAGAGCCCATGGCTCCTGAGTGCCCATCTAGTGTTCTGTCCACTAGCTCACATAAGAAAATATTTTAAAGTGTTTTTCAAATAGTTTAGTTAGTGAACGAATCCCCCAAACCTGAAGGAACAGGTGCAGAGCTTCGGAGTCCTCCTGGACCCTTTTCTAGCATTTGAGAATTAGATTTTCTCAGTGGCTGGGAGTGCTATTGGGCAGCTTCATTTGCTCTGCCAGCTGCGACCCTTTCTGAATAAGAATGACCTAGCCATGGTGATTCATGCTCGTCACATCCCAATCGGACAACTGCAATGCACTCTATATGGGGCTGTCTTTGAAGAGTCTTCAGATACTTCAGCTCATCCAGAATGTGCCCACTCAAGTTTTAACCAACACCCACTATACAGAGCACATTATGCCGGTGGTCCGGCAGCTGCACTGGCTTCTGGTTTGATTATGGGAACCATTCGCAGTCCTGGTTATGACCTATGAAGCCCTAAACAGTTTGGGACCGGGGTACTTGAAGGACCATCTCCTCCTGTACGAACCTGCCAGGGATTAAGATCAGCTGGGGAGGTTCTGCTCCGTGTTCCTCCATTTATGGAGACAGGGCTGACATCTACGCAGAGCAGGGCCTTCTGAGCTTTTGCTCCCAAGCTATGGAATTCTCTCCCCTGAGACATTCGCCGGGGCCTTAATCCCAACACACCTCATTGGAACTCAATTCCCAAGAAACATTTTAAACAATCTTGGGCCAGATTTAGCTCAACCTGAAGTTAATGGGAAATGTCCACTGACTGACTAGAAGCTGGATCAGGCCCATCACAAAAACATCACAAGCCCTTCTGCTGAGTTCAGCATACAGCATGTTTCTAGGATCTCAGTGGCAAGGCCTCTCCACGAGGGAGGAATGTATTAAACACTATTTACTGCACTCTAGCATTTAATAAGACATATAGATTAATGAAAAGGACAGCATCAAGGCCAGGAGGTGTAAATTAATACCTTCCAGCTGTGTTTTGCTTTTCAGGAGCAAACATGCCCTTCATAGCCTCCCTCCATTCTGCCTATCTGTTCTTTCTGTGTGAAGAGGATTGATATTCAAATACACAAGATTTCTCCTTTCTGGGCACTTCAAAACACGATTTTTTTTGCGGCGGATATAAATTTGAGTTCCTAATCTATCACCATCAGTGGACCTGAATAGAGAGACAGAGGAATTGGCGTACCTTCATAGTGGGGATACAGGGGTCAGTGACCCCCTAGAACACCGGGCTGGTCACTGGGAGTGTGTTTGACTGTTAATCACTGCTGTAGCCTTCATCTTGGGAGGTTGATGAGGATTCAAGGGTCAGGGAAAGCAATTTAAAACACTCCTTTTATTCAATTAAACAATGGTTTTGCTTTGGGTATTTCAGCCCTGGAAAAATAACTCACAAGTTGAAGGTAGGGTAAATATATTTCCCTGTATGGAATAAAGACACCTGCTAAAATTACTCTTATTCAAGCGAAGTCAATGGCAATCAGACAGAACTGTGCAGTATACATGTTCAAATTAACATGAAGTTGACAAACACTATTAAAAAGAAAAACTGCGTTGTAGGATTTTTAAAGTTTATCTTATCTGTAAGGCTTTAGAGTTCACATGGGAGGGTGACATACCTCCTCCATAAATGGGGAGAGGTCTCTCTCCTCACACACAGGGCGAGGGACTGATCAACCAACCCTCCCTACCCAGCGCTCTTCAACCTCTGTGCCTGGTTGGCCCCCTGCATGGCGACCCCTCCCCTGGTATCTGGCACTTCATCTTCCTGAGACAACATGCTCTCCTCCCGAGATTTCTGATAGGGTTCATACTGGAATGTGACCAGCAGCAGCCTTTCAGCACTGTGCAGGAGGGAAGGAACAGGAGCTGCTTTCAGATACAGAGGAGAGGAAGAGATGACCTGTCCTGTGTCTTTACAGAGCTCATCTCGTCCTGCCTACAGAATGCTGAAAGGCAGCTAATACTCCAGGCTGTTGCTGGCCACGGACCTAACCCAGCTGCTTCCTGTTCACCAACTATAGCACAGGCAGAAAGCCCCGGGACCCGAAGTTGCGGCGCCTCCCCCAGCCCCAAAGTGTAGCCTAGGGTTGCCACGTGTCCGGTATTGAACTGGACAGTTCGGAGTTTTCGCCTCCTGTGTGGTAAAAAAATTCAGAAAATACCAGACACCTAAAATGTCCGGTACTTTCTGATTTTTTTCCAGGCCAGGAGGCGAAAATCCTAGGCTGTCCGGCTCAATATGGAGGCAGCCTGGCAACCTTAGTGCTTACTGGGTTCCGCAGGGGAAATGTCCAGCACCGCGCAGGGAGGCAAGATGGCAGGCGGCCTCCAGTAGTCTGTTAGGGCCAAGAAGCCTCACCACACGTTTCTTAAAGGGGCTACGCTGTGGGTTCTGTGGGGGTTATTTTTGTTGTTTTTGGCGCTTAACAACTCTTGGGGTCCTTTTTTTTTAGTTCGGTATTTTTTCTGAAACCACCTGGCAACCCACTCTAGCCAGAGGGGTGGCATGGCCAGGACAGGGTGCTTAGAGGACAGAGTAGGGCCTATGGTGGGCTAAGAGCGTAGTAGGCCCCTATCCAGGAAGCTACTGTGGAACCTGCAGGTTGAGGGTGGAAACAGTCTGGAAATTGCCTTCACCCCTGCCACTCCAGAGCCTGCATGCAGCAGGAGCTGAGCTGATGGACCGGCAGAAGGAATGTCCTGGTTTACTCTGCCATCAGCCTGGCACACCCATCCCCATTATCAGCCACTGGACCTCCTTATTCACCACTGATAAGCAGGTGGCTGGTAAGCAGTGATCTCAATGAGCAGGACCCACTGTAGAAAAGTGGGCACAATTTTTTCATTTAAAAAAAAAAAAGGTCAAAACAGCTGCAGGAGGCCCAAATACAGGATTGTCCCTTAAATGGAACATCTGCTCAGCCTAGCTGAAGGTGGCCTCCCAAGAATTTTTTAAGCTTTAAGTCTGTGCCCATTTTTAGCTTCTTTGTGACATATAGCGAAAGCCTGAAAGGCGGATTTGTTTTAAATATTGGTCTTTTCTTCCCCAGAGGATTGTGAAACCTGTCCCCTGGTTGTTGTGCAGGACAACTTAGGAGTCTCAGATGTATCTTGTGAGCTTTCACTGTTTTTAATGGAAGAAGTAGGACACTGAACTTTTCACAAAGAGGCTCTCTCAGAAATGTTCATGAGCTATTGATAGGGCTGCCAGGTGGTTTAACAAAAAATACCAAACACCTGCCTGTCCCCCTGCCCCCCAAAAAATGGAACAAAATTATATTGAGGGGAAAAAAAGGGGAGACCAAAGTTGCTGAGCAAAACAAAACAAAAAGGGCGCTGCCCCTTTAAATGCTTTAAATGGCCCCACGCCCCTCACATGTCCAGTATTTTCTGTTTTTTTATCGGACAGGGGACCTGAATAAAGGATAGTCCGGGTGAAAACCGGACACCTGGCAATCCTAGCGGCTGTGAGGCCTATGGCCACTGCTCCCTAGGGCTGTGCATCCGGGCAGAGCCCCCCCAGGAAGCATCCAATGGTTCTCTGCAGAGAGGGGCTGTGCGGGGTTCTCTGCTCGGCCTCCTGTGACCTGAACCCCTGGCTAGCTGCCCCCTGTACTCATTTGGAACCCGGGTCCCTCCCACAAGGCTGGGGCGCCCACCCACCTCCCCGGATTTCAAATAGTGCCGCCATCGTGAGCCCGACGTTGCGCTCATAGGGCAAAAGGCTTTTTTTAAAAAACTCGAAGGAGTGGGGAGCAGTCAGGGCAGGAAAAGACAGAACAGTCAGAAAACAACAATCGGAAAATGAACAGCTGGAGAGGCAGAAGAACCACCAGAGAGAGAGAGAGAGAGAGAGAGAGAGAGAGAGAGACAAGGACCAGGAAAAAAAACCCAGCTGTAGAGATCAAAGAACAAGAAAAAAAATAACAGCCAGAGAGACACAGAAGGACCAGCAGGAACCACAGCCCGAGAGACAGCTGGAGAAACGTAAAAGAACATTCTGAAAACAACTGCTAGAAATAGAACAGTCAGAAAACAATCAGAGACAGAGAGAATGGCCAAAAAGTAACAGCTAAGATACAGAAGAACAGTCAAGAAAGAGGCAGAAGAACAGCCTAAAAAAACACCCCTCAGAGAGACTGTAGAATAGGCAGAAACAGAGGAATAGTTGGGGGAAAAACAGATTGTCAGAGAGAAACAGAAGAACTGCTGGACAGAATGAAAACAGTCAGGAAATAATAGCCAGAAAGAGAAAAGGACAGCCGCAGAGAACAACTGGACAGAGAGGCAGAAGAACAGTAAGAAAGTAATGGCTGTAGAGACAGAAAAATAGTTGGCAAGAGAAGAACAGTCAGAAAAAAATCAAAGAGAGGCAGAAAAACAGTCAGAAAACAGCCAAAGTGAGAACAGCCAGGAAATAATAGCCCAAGAGGCAGAGAACAGTCAGAAGTAGCAGATGGAGAAACAGAAGTCAGAAAGAGCTAGAGACCAGTCAGAGGGAGGAAAAACAGCGAAAGAGACAAGAAGGGGCAGTGTAGCCAGCTCCTTCTGCCGCAAGAGCCTCGTCCGCAAAAATGGCAGCTCATTAGATATGCAAATGAGGCTCAGCGACATTCCACGCTTAACCTCATTTGCATATTTCTGGCGCAAGAACCCGCCAGTGTAGACATAGCTCTGGAGAGAGGGAGGCAGAAGACCAAGTGGAAAACAAGAGCGAGAAAGAAGAACAGCCAGAAAACAACAGCCGGAGAGGCAGAACGAGGCGGGAGAGACGAATGGGGTCGCAGCCGTCTGTGAGTCTGTCAGGCGCACACCATGTCCAGCGGTCCTCAGCCTTTCCAGGAACCTGATGCCTCTCCCCCTCCCCAAATCTCCAGGGAGCCAGCGCTCACCAGTAATCAGAGTAGGGCAGCTTCAGGCGTGGCTTGGCCAGCTTCATCTGCTGCTCCTTGATGACGAAGGCGAGAACCTCTTCGTCCGACAGGTGCCGGTAGGGCTGGCTGCCGAATTCAAACAGCTCCCAGATCGTCACCCCCAGAGACCTGGAGAGGACAGGGTTATAGGGTGAGTGCCTGGATTCCTCGCCTGGGGCGGGGCAGGCACACAGGGACCCCTCGCTTGGTGCTGAGATGCGGCCCCTCTGGGGTGGGGCCCGAGGGCAGGTTAACAGCCATGTAGAACAGGTAGCTCA